TGGAGAAAAAGAAATAAAAAATAAGTAAGAAAAACGCAACAAAAATGGGACAAACAGACCAGTTCTGAGAAAACTGCACCAATGGCCAAATTCGCCAGCGAGCACCACACGGGCTTCATCGGTGGCCATAACGTCGTCGTCGTGAGCATCTCCTTTACGGCGGCGATGTGTTTTAAGGTCGACTGCAGGTGGTAGATGGATGGCAACGACGACAAGTGGCGTGTGGGCGGCGACCGGCGGTGGGTGGCGGGATCGGGCGATAGCGAGGCGGCTCTGGGTGATGTTGGAGACGACGGTCGGTGGTTGTGGGCTGTAGTGCCGCCGTGGGTGTGTGTGTGTGTGTGTGAGACGTGTGTGCGTTGAAAAATTCAGATCTGTTGTGTGTGTTTGTGTGTGTAAGATGGGAAGGGTAAGGGTTAATGGTGGGGCCCACAATTAGTGTTTGATTATTTAATAAATATGTAATGACTAGTTTGTCCCTATTGAGTGGTAAAAATCATATATTTGGCCACGATTTTGATACTTATTTACCCTACTGCCACTCATATTTAACTATTATTTATTTAATTTTGACTTTATCATGACCATTGAAGTAGTAGATCCAATGATCCAGGTTCATTCTCATTTCTCGCATTAAGAGTCATTCTCATATGATCCCTTACATATATATATATATATATATATATATTAACTTAATTGTTAGAAACAGTATTTTTATAAATCAAGAGAATGTGCAATAAAATATAACTTTATTTTTTCGTTATTCGTATTATAAAGTACATAAAAAATATCTACAAATAATAATAATAATAATAATAATAATAATAATAATAATAATAATAATAATAATAATAATTCAACATATATATACACACACATAAGTGGCCAGTATGGTTTGCAATTTGTAACTATGAAATTGGACGTAAAGATTAACAAGCTTTTTATTTTATTATTTATTTTTATTTTTTATAGTATATATTTACTTAAAAAATAGCTTTTGAGAAATAGTGTTGTCATTTCAACAGAAAAGACTGAATTTTTTTTTTTTAACTTTGTGCCTTATCTATCTTATCATGATAATTTGTATTGTATATAGTAATAATGAATAGCTGAATACATCTATATAATTGAACATTCGGTTGATGAAAAACTCAAGCAAAAGAATACCTCTTGTTTTCTTGTATTTCAATGGACAGAAACCCAAAATTTCCTAATTTTAATATGTCTAATTCTTCTGAAGACGATAGCCCGTCTTCTGTAAATTCTCGCTATAGTCGAAACATACCTCTCGCACTTGGTCAATTTCCCAGAATGCAATTGCAACACCAATTCAAAAATTGTTCATATCAACCGATGTCTTCTTTTTCCAACCAAGCCCCTGAATAACAATCTCAGTATATGTGGTCAATGGCATCCCAATATAATATGCCAAACTCATTTGCATACCTTTTCAACAAAGTAGTTTCATGCCAACAACGATGAGTACTGGTTCACAAGATGCCGTAAGAGGTAGTACTGAACCAGAGGTTGAAGTCCTTGACAACATTTGTCTTAACAAAGAAATACAAAAAAATAAGGAAGCTGAGCCAAAAAGAGGAGCGAAATCGTCTGCAAAATCGTGGACACAAGACGAAGATATGTTGCTTTGTCGAGCTTTCTGCACTATCTCGAGTTATCCGATTGTTGGGGCTCAACAGAGTTCAGATGGCTTTTGGAAGCAAATCACCCAATACTACAATGAAAATGGTCAAGCTCGGGACTTTATTGAAAGATCTATGGAGTCGGTAAAATCTCATTTTTATGCTTTTCATGGAGATTGTCTAAAATTCAATGCATCAATAAATAGGTTCTGAGCTGACCAGAGGAGTGGAGAAAATGATGCTATTGTGTTGCAAAATGCATTAATGGAGTGGAATAGAGATGGTAAGAGGAAAGGAGCCTTCAAATGGCTGCATTGTTGGGAAATTCTAAAAAGTAGTCCTAAGTTTCAAGGGTCATCAACGATAAGTCGAGGAGGAAAAAAGTCAAGAATGTTTGAATCGGGAGATCACACTTCTGGATCTGGCCAAGATTTAGAGCAGAATTGTGATGATGATGAGAGCTATGTGTGTCGCCCAATTGGTCAGAAGGCAGCAAAGGCAGGGAAGATAAAGGTAAAATGTAGCATGAGAAGTAACACTGATCATAAAACTGAACGTATGATTGAAGTCTTTGGACATGTTAAGGATATACATGAAAAACAACATAATGAACTTAAAAAGTTAGTTCGTATGGAGTCTTGGAAGACGTATCGAGAAATGCTAAAGAAGGACATTTCAACAATGAGGGAGGAAGAATTAGAAGCTCACTACGCACTTCTCGCTGAACTGAAAGAGGAATTGGGCCTCAATTAAATTTTTAATAATTTTCTAATGATGATTATGTACTGTATTTTTAAGTAATTTGTGTTTGTCTTTAATTTTCATATGTACCTGTTTCTTATTATTATGTACTCGTATTGTATTTAATTTAATTGTGTACTCGATTTCTCCTTTGTGTTTAATTTTAAATTTTACCATATTTTTTTTCTTTTATTTTGTGTACCATATTAAATACAAGCCCATGAAATACATTAGTTATTTATGTGCAAATAAAATGACAACCAACCAAAAAGAAAAAGAAAGGTAGGCATGAGATGGATACTCACATGATTCCCACCAAACTTTTAGTAGATGTTATCTTTTTCTCATTATAAATAGATAAATAGATGCCTCAAATGTACTCTCAGACATCCACCAAATAATTTCTTTCTGTTTTTGTAGTATTTTTTTCTTTTAAGATGTCTAGGAATACCAATGATAAAGTAGCATATCGTGCTTTCCTGAAAAATATGCTTGATGATTCTCTGGTGCAGGCTGAATTTTCCCTGATGGAGGTTGTGATTAATCAGTTCGAAGAAGCCGAACAAGGTGAAAATTCAAGTAGGCGAGAAAGGCGAGTAGTACATCGAGGTCGTGATGTCGGACATGCTCTGCTAATAAAAGATAATTTTGCTACAGAACCCACCTATCACGAGGGCTTTTTCCGTCGTAGATTTCGTTTGTCCAGACGTTTATTTTCTCGTATTGTCGATTCAGTTAAAAATTATTCTGATTATTTTAAGAGCAAAACAGATGCATCTGGTAGACAGGGCTTTTCACCCTTTCAGAAGTGTACCGCGGCTATACGCCAACTAGCATACGGAGCACCTGCCGATCAATGTGATGAATACTTGCGCATGTCAAAGCAAACGGCAAATAGAAGTCTTATGGAGTTTTGTCGAGCTGTGTGTCAGGTATTTGCATCTCAATACTTACGTTCATCTAATGTTGCTGACATCCAACGACTACTTGCATTGCACGAGGAGAAGCATGGTTTTCTTGGAGTGCTGGGGAGCCTTGACTGTATGCACTGGGAGTGGAAAAATTGTCCTGTTGCTTTGCAAGGCTCGTACACTCGAGGAGATCATGGTGTACCAACGATAATACTTGAAGCGATAGCCTCACAAGACTTGTGGATCTGGCATGCCTTTCTTGGACTTGTTGGGTCACGCAATGATATCAATGTATTGCACGAGTCCCCATTATTTAATGATGTCTTACACGAGGTAGCACCTGACGTAAATTTTACAGTGAATGGAACCCAATATAATAAAGGATATTATTTAACAGATGGTATCTATCCGGAATGGGCAACGTTTGTCAAGAACTTCCAGTGCCCAGATGATCCAAAAAAAAAAAGAAAATTCAAGCAACGGCAAGAGGCTGCAAGGAAAGATGTTGAGTGTGCTTTTGGGGTGCTCTAGTCAAGATGGGCAATCGTACGTGGCCCGGTTCGTTTTTGGTATAAAGAAGACCTTAATGAAATAATATTATCATGTATTATTTTACATAATATGATAATTGAGGATGAGGGTGATGATGCAACAAAATGGGCCAATGATGACACTGAGCCTCCAGTGCAAGCACGACAAGGCCATCCAGGAAATTTTCATCGGTACTTACAAATAAGAGCCGAGATGCAAGATCGAGAAGTCCATCATCAACTTAGGCACGACCTATTGAGCATAGTTGGAATGAACCTAATTAACAAGAGTAATAATTTAGTTAATCTATATTTTATTTCATCGAAACTTCCGTGTGCAATAATATGTATTTTTTTCTTTATTTGAAATTGTAAAAGTACCCCAATTTTTTTTGGCGTTTGTTCTAATTTGATAAAGCTCGTTTTCACTTGTTTTTATTTCAACAACCAGTCTAACTTGTTCTTATACTATAAAATTGGTTTTTTATACTAAATTAATTGAAGTTTTATTTTAACGAAAACATACTTTGAAAAAACTCGTTCATTTTTTTTCGAAGAACGTATCGAACTCGTTTTATGCCATAAAATTGCGCTATTTTTTTTTATCTATGACTAATTCCAGTTTTATTTTAATTACTAATCTATAATTATAAATATGTGAAACATTTAGATTAAATAAAAATAAAAGTGAAGTTATAGTTTTAAAATGTAAATAAAAAATAAGAGTATAATATTAATTATAAAAATAAATGGGAAACATGTGGGACCATAAAAAGGAGGTTTATTATTATTGGAGGTTTATATATGTAGGAGTGAGAATAAGGTTTTGGATGATGTGGCATATTGGGAATAGAGAAAGGGGGTTTGTGTAGTATTATTGTTATTAGAGATGCTCTAAGGTTAAAGAAAATGAAATTACTAAAGATTTATGTTAAAGGATAAATTACATATTTTTTGGACTAAAGCAGCTTTGCCATTTGGACCTACGTAAGTTTTATAACTACTAAATTCAGTGAGCAACATAGTGGAAAATGGCTAANACATATTCCAAGTAGTTATCTCATAATATATGTCCCCAATCAAAGCACACAAATAGTTATGCATACCTTTTGGAAACAATATCTTTACTGATTATGTGATAAATATTTTAAAAAAAAAATTGATATATCTTCAAAAGTTTACTTCTTTCTAATCTCTCCAACCACAACCACCGCCGCCCCCTCACCCCTCCTCCTCGTCTCCTCTATCAACAAAATCGATATCCGCCAGTAACCACTCGATTTGAAAACATGGTCATGCCCCTCATACTTTCTTTGGTTATTTTGTTTTAAAGGTTCAAAAAAAGTGTCGTCCGAAGTTTGAATACATAAACCACAAATAAGAATATAATAAAATCATGTTACTAAATGAAAATACCAAAATAAAAAACCTTTGTATCCATATGCCATCCATATAAATGTTGTATAATGAAAAATACAAACGTACAAAAATAAGTAGTAATAAACTGATTATAAATCGAATGCATACATTATTTGACTAATAAAAAAATATTAATCTGAATCGGTTTTCGAGGCCTCGGATTCAATATCTTGGTCTCCTCATGAGTGCTCTGTTGATTTTCCCTTCTTCTGGCCGCGATCTTCTCAAAAAATTCTCGAGGGTTCATTTGATAGGGTTTTGTCGTCGATTTTATCCTTTCTGAAAGGGATTTTGATCAGGAATTTCTCGATCTCGTGATCCTTCCCTCATCGGGTTCTTTCCCTTTTGCTTTGGTATCGAATTTCTAAGTATCTCGTTGGGGTTTTTTTAATGGAACCTTCGCGTTAAACCTCTGGTGCTCAGACGAATCGGAACTATCCTTGCCAGAGGACCTCGGTTCGAAAGCAAAGACGTACTTTCGAGTACTCTCGCCGATCGGCTGCCTTCCGAGGTAATTATTGAGGACAGGAGACTCTTGCAATGAAGGAGACAGCAAGCCTAGCCGAGAACCACACAACGCCTACGAAAAGCACAAGAAAAAAAACCTAAAAGTTAGAATAAACTAAAGCCCTCCCTACCAGCCAATGAGCCACTCCCAAACACTCCAAGCAGACCAGCACCTAAGGCAACCAAACGGGAAGACCAAGCCCCTAGCCAAAACACGGAACTAGAAACTCCTTACACGGCTAACAGGAACTGGACCAAAAGGGCCCGAAACCATCATAAAAGGACACCATGGGAACGACACCAAAGGACCCTCACCCAAGTTCTCCCAGCCCAACACCAAAGTCAAAGCCGCTCACGGCGGGATCCCCTGGTCGCCAACACCAAGGTAGAACAGGGGTAGGGGAACCTCGGTGCACAAGCCTGAAACCCCAACACCCGTCACAGCCAGCCGTCAAGGTCCGCCGCTGAAAGCAACGCGGCAACCTGCCAGACCCCTTGATGCCATGGCCAGCTAAAATAGAGGAAAACTAGGCGGAGGGTACCGCCGCCTCACCGGGGAGCTCACTAGCCCTGATTTCGACCTCGGGCGCCAGACTCACCCATAGGGAATAGCCGCCGCACTGTACCCGCTGCCGCAAGGACGACTTTCACCGTCGGCAACCGAGGCTCCAGTTAGGGGCCAAAGGTCCGAAATTAGAGCGGCCACCCGCAAAAGAGACAACCCCTGGGACCAAAAATCTGGCGCACTTCTATCGAACCACGGTCATCCCAGGTGAAGGACGAAGCCTCGCGGCTACAGAACCCTGCGGAGGAGAGGCGTGCCCGAGCCCAGGTCGAGTAGGTTTTATGGGGAGATGAGAAATTGAGAGGAAAGAGGTTTTGTAGCAAGTTAATATAAAAGGAAAATTTTGGTGTGGCGAGCCGGAGTCGGTACTTCATGTGCTTCGTGATTGTCCGAATACCAGGAAATTTTGGGAACGCCTGCTACCGGTGACATTTAACAAGAATTTTTTCGAGCAGCCCGTTAAAGCATGGATTCGCACAAACCTAATGAAAATGCGATGGGGAGATTATAAGACCTGGAGCAGCGTCTTTGCCATTGCCGTGTGGAGATCGTGGAAGTGGTGTAATGAGCGGGTGTTTCAACACATTACAATGAGTGTCGAGGCTCGAAGGTTAGAAGTTTTGCGATTTGCGGATAGCTACACCCGGGCGACGGCGGATTATGCGCGGGTCGGGGCTGCCATACACATTACATGAATGATTCGTTGGAACCCCCCGGCTGAAGGATGGATAAAGGTTAATACTGATGGGGCTCATAATAGTACAACGGGTTTGATCTATGCGGGTGGTCTGGCCCGAGACGAAGCGGGAAGGTGGATTGAGGGTTTCATCCTGAATATTGGCTTCTGCACTATTACTGGTGCTGAACTATGGGGTCTTTTCCAAGGATTACAGCTAGCGTGGGAGCTGGGATACAGTCATGTTATTGCCGAGGTGGATAGCCTTTGCGTGCAAAAGATGGTTTGTGGAGCTAATGGAGGACATGGTTCCCATGAAGCAATGGTTAAGGCCATTCGGAATTTGGTCCAAAGAGAATGGAGTGTTCGGATCCAACACGTACATAGAGAAGCCAATTATGCGGCTGATTACATGGCGAGCCTGGCGGAAGCCTACCCGATCGGTGTACATTGCATTACCTCCCCTCCGTGGGAGTAGGAACTTGGCTCGAACATGATAATATTGGGGTGTCATATCCCCGTCGAGTAATAGTTTCCAAGAAATAAAATACGTATTTAACAAATAATTAATTAATGATGACTTCAATTTATGTTTTGAACCGAAGAAGACATAGGTATTAAACCCGACCTGGTAATCGACCTGGGAAAGTCATCGGGTCATCGGTTCAATCGTCGGGTCACCGGGTCAATTGCTGAACCGAATAATGAATTCTAAAATTTTTTAAATCATATATAGAGGATTTATGTCATATAAATATACGTAAAAATAATAAAATTAAATATTTTTTGTATAAAATTTGTACATTTAAGTGTTAATAATATGTATCTCATGATAAATATTTACCATATAAATATTATATACATAATTTTATTTTTAAAAAATAAAAAAATAAATAAATAAATATATAGATCGGTCAACCGAGTGGTTACCGGTGGGAAAGCCACAAAACCGACTGGAAAGCCCAACTACAGAAACATCCCTTTCAAACAAAAATCCAACCGCCAACTCCGCCGCACGCCACCAACATGTCCTCTCGACCCACCCCCTCTCCTCCTCACTCCACCACCACATCATCTCCTTCTCTGGCTAAGCCCCCGGCTTTCTCGAGCCGCGAGGACTGCTGGTCCAAGGAAGCAAGCCGGACGCTAATTCATGCCTGTGTGGTAACCTCCGACAGAAGCACTGGCAGCAGGTCGCTCGCGCCGTCAACGCCTCCTCCCTTAACCTCCGCCGCTCCGACGTCCAGTGCAAGAACCGGATCGACACCACGAAGAAGAATACAAGATCGAGAAGTCTAAGGTCGTCCAATCCCGAGGCCGCTACGTCTCCTCTTGGCCCCACTTTGAAAGCCTCGACTCCCTCATCGGCGGCTCCTTCTCCGGTAGCACCAATCTCAACGCTCACACCAGAATCCTTCGCCGGCGAGTTTTACCGTCTCCGGAACCTCGCCTCCACCACTTCATAACCCGGATAAAGATCTAGCCATGAGTCCCTTGCTGATGCTACCATGGTCCGTGCCCGTGGGGCCCAGATCAAAGCGTGCAGGGCCCAGCAGCGTTACTGAGGGGAATTTCTCGGTGATGGTAGCAGCAACAGCGGCACTGGAGGCTGAAAAAGTGAGGAGGAAGATGATGATGGGAATACGGATGAGACGTGGAGTAGACACCTGGCAGCCGTGGGAAGGAAAAGGAAAGGGCCTTCGGAAGATGGAGAGACCATCATCTGTGAAGGGTATCGGAAATTGGCCGAGGCAATCGGGAGGTTGGCGCATATATATCAAAAAGTTGAGGAGGCAAAGCAACAGCATGTGGTGGAGCTGGAGAAACAAAGAATGCAGTTTGCAAAGGATTTGGAAATTCAGAGAATGAAGGGTCTTCATGGAGTCACAGGTCCAGCTTGAGAAGCTAAAGCGTGCAAAACGCAGCTCGGGAAATAGTAAGTCGCAAAGAATTTCTGTTTGTGTTAAAATATCATTATATGCTTGATTAAGTGATTTTGTGATGTGTGTATGATACCAAATTGGCATTTGATTGTTGGTCATGTGCTGCTAATTGTTGGAAGGATGTCTTGGTGTCTACTTTCAAAACCACATTCTTTTGACCTTTGTCTATGGGTGTGGAACAGAATTCTGTAGGCTTGTGGTGGTATAGCTGTTCTACTGATACATCACTATGGTTGTGTATTTAGAAGGTGAATTTGAACTTTAATTAAATATAATTTCAGTTAATCTCCATATTTTCATGGCATGATTTGTGAAAAACTAATATGCAGTTGTTAAAAACTTGTTGACTTATTGGCTTCTCCTTGTGGAAATATTTTGAGCACTTGTGCAGCTGTTATATGGTAGGAATAGTGACTCTAACTCATGTTGATGTGGTGTTCTATCTATGGATGCTGCATATACTATTCTGCCATATATCTCTGGAAAAGGTTCTTGGCATGTTTGCTTATCATATAACTGCTGAAAAGTCATGCCCACTAAGTTAGGATAGCATCATATTTGCTGCATAAACAATCGAGAAAGCAGATAACATGGGATATTATTAATATAATACCATTAGAGTAATTCCAGTGTTACTTTGAGTTGTTTTGTGGGTGTAATCTTGGTTGCGGCATGAACTACATAAACAGGCTTTTGAATCCATGCTTATTTCTGCATTAGATTTTTGACATTTATGATACTTGTGTGATTTACTGTTGTAAATGGCTGCTGCCTGTTATGTGCGATGCATGATGGTTGTTTTGAGTGGATAACACATATCATGAGCTTGAAAATTTTTGGATGAGTTATTTGAAACAAGTGTTCCCTGCTTCAAAAGTTCAAATATATAATAGTGTACGATGAATTTGGTACCGTGATGATGTGATTTTTGGGATTTTCTGCCCACGAGCTATGCATTGTCTTGCCATATCTTAGGAAGATGATTCCGGTACCTTGTTCGACAATAAAGTTGAAGGCTTACTTAATGACATAAAAGAACAAAACTGCTGGCAATCTTGTGATATTAGACGCAGGGGAAACAAATAGTGATTTTTTGTTGGTGAGGATGGGGATTGGGATGTCTCGGACCCTCAGTCTCTTTTGAATCTTGTTTTAGTTGTGATATATAGACAAACCAATATCAATCAATATATTTTTCATTGTTTCGTAGCACTTCCATATGATGCAAATTAGTTGGTATTTATGTTTGTTGTCATTTGTCTAATTAATTATCTATACTTACAGTATATCCTGAATATGTTTAATTAAGCATCAAGTCTCACTGTGCTTAGTAGTTTAATAGTTTTATACTACGACATATGGTTTTATCGATAATCCATATGTTTTGCTACCATGTCATTATATTGTTGAACAATATTCTCTTCTACCTAAAGTGTTTGTAGAAGTTGGTTGTGTTTTGCTCTAAGCTATATGCTTTTCCTGTTTTCTTCTGGCTTGAAGATAACTTATGACCAAACCAAATGCTTGTCTGAGTTTTATATCATACAAACTTACTATCATTTAGGTCTCAGTTGTACAAGTATAAGTTTGTTTGTGCCTTCTGATAAGTCGAAAATATATGTTTATAATATAGTAAAATTTGGACTATGTGTTGGATATTTGTGCTTAAGTGACGTGTTTTCGACTTTATCATGTGTCTTCGAGTAGAAACTACCTTTGTTGATATTTTTGTGCAGTTAGATCGCATGGTGCACATATAACCAACATGGCAGCACTGGGTTTTGTTTGAACATGGCCATGTCAGTATGGACGGACAGTGCGTAGCTTATTATTTGGACGTAGGCCCGTAAACATTAAGCCCAATAGGATTAAAAGTCCAACCATAATTAAAGATGAGGAGATCAGATTTTTGGAGACCTACACTGCACGTACAACAGCCGCAAGGAGCAACAGAAGGGATCTTCACGAACATCAACTCTCTCCTCTCTTTTCTTCACTATATTTCTTTTTCTTTTCTCTTGGATCATGGAAGCCCTGCGCGGCTAATTCTCTTTTGTTTCGGTTGAACACGATTGAAACCCCGAACTTAATACTGTGAGATCTAATTAGTTTTTATTTATTAATTTATATTTCGTATTAATTGTGTTTATGCTTATGATTTTGTGTTAGGATCGTAGCCTGATCAACTATTGTCTTGTGCACTTAATCTATTGCTTGGTAGATATTGAGTCGGATTTAGATAATTTATCTATCGTAAGAAGCATCTAAGTGTGGTGATTGACCGGATTTAGGCGTTATCATTCTTAGGCAAAATAGTTATACAAGTTAGCATTTAACGGATTAGTTATTTGTTGCTTGTGTTGTCGGGCTCTACTTCTTAATGCTATTGCTAGGATAATTTTACACGATGTTGGGAATTGCCTACTAATAAGGGTTGTGTAGAAGGATTTATTTTGCATAGCCAATTTAGGAGTCAGAATTCATCATTCAACAGCATCTGCGTATTTATGGATTGATAATATTTGCATCGAGGATCAGTAAAATAATTCGGGGTGGAAATCAGTTCAACCGGAGCACTTTGGTAATATCTTTCATCTTCATCTTGCTGTTGCTTGCGAATCTCTTGTTCAAGAACTGTTAACTATTGCTTTCTTTATTTTCTTGTTAATTAGATAATTAGGATTAAAAACCAATTCTCCCCCATTTTAATCACATAGTTACAGTCATTTAATTATATTATTCCCCGTGGATACGATCCTTGCTCACGCTACTATATATATTCAAGCAAGGTTAATTTGGGTGCCTACGACAACACGACCACCTTCCATATATTTCAGAAGGTGGTTGACTCGTGATATTATTTAGGTAGTGGCATTTGTTTTGAAAATAAATTCAGGGTTTGGACTTTCTTTTGATATTAATCTATCATTATAATTGAATCTTCCTTTTGCACCTGACATAGGTTCAAGTTCAGTACAATTATTTATGATTCTCTCTCCTTCTCTTGTTTGCTTCTTGTGTCTTTTATTTTTCCTCCTGCAAAAGGACTTGAATTAAGATTTATCACTATAGGCGACAAGAGAATTATATTAAAATCCATTCCGTGGTCCTGTAGGGACAACTATCTTCTCTACATTATTCTTCTATCTTTTCTACTCCTTAACTTTTCATTAATTTTACCTCCTGTCATTGATTTGAACTCTATGAATTACCTTTTGTAGAATTTTGTCCTTTTTTTTTTTTTCCTTCTCCTAGCTAGTTGTGACTTTCTGCCCTCAATGCTTGAATTTAAAGCACAATATTGATTATCATCATCTATAATTTTCCATGTGAACAGGTCACTGCTTGTAAATGCGGCTGAAGGATTAGGCGAGAGTTCGGCTGATCCATTTAATATATCGTTAGATTTACTTAGTCTGCATATACGTACAGGTGTGGTTAATTTAGATATTAGATACTCTCGAAGCTTTAGTTGATCTACTTCTGTTTTGGAATATGTTTATCATGAAGTGGTTTCTTATATTTTCAGTCTGTCAATACACAGATCATTTTTTAGAAGGTGCAAAGTTCTTTTAGTACATTTTGTTGCTAGTAGAGTAGTATATACAAACTCGACTTGAGAATCGTTTACTACCTCGAGCTCTCAAACTCCAGTTCTGCAAAATACATCTTGAAACTAAATCTGAGCTTATTAAGATAGGGCAATCGTTTAACACTCAGATGGTTCGAAGCTTTGTATATTATATTTGTTGATATAATAGACGTTGATACCTTTAATTATGAAGAATGAGGGGACAATTGTTATTTCCTTAGATATACTCTGTTTCTAGTTTCCTATAGAATGATAATTCCAATTTAGACAGAATGAAAATGTTTCCATGCAAATATTTTTTTTTTTTTTAAATGTTTCCATGCAAATATCTGGAATGAGAATTGTCTTCTATCCAATATATCGATCAACTGGAAAGATCCGTTACATTAACTAATTACAAACAATGTTTGCTAACCAATATAGATCAAATAAACAAATAAATAAGAAAATTTTTTAATGACTTGTGGGTGTTCGGAATAGTTCCCTGAATCTGAACAGAGAATTGTGAGTTTCTTCTTTTTTTTTTTTTCGAAGAATTTCTATTACCACGAAATATATAGTTTATATCTCGGAAGGCCAACTAGCCTATACAAACCAACACATGCTAAATACAAAAGAGAGCCGCATGCACATAGCGGCCTAAACCACAAAAGAGTACACAAATTCAGAAGACAAACACTACCATTTGAGACCCTAAATCACAAAAGAGTACACAAATTCAGAAGGCAATAGGCAAACACTACCATTTGAGACCTCCTGCCCGTTACTCCCAATACAAAGAACACCAAACAACTAAACCTGACAGAAACAAAGCAGCAAGAAAGGAGAAGGTTCACTGAACACAAAAACCTAGACCCCTTCTTTCCTGCCGGCACTACAAGCAGCCCACTCCTTCCAGGCAGACTGCAAATGTCTTTTTCCCTGAGCCACCTATCTTGGAAAATATAATGTTTCATCATTAAGAAAATGTAATTGTTTTTTTGAAAAAAGCAAGCTCGCCCATTTCAAAAGATTGTCGTAATTGCGGGGTATCACAACAAGCCCCCACTACTAATAATAACAAACGATACTACAAACAAATGGATTATGATCATATGAGAATGAGACATAATGAAAGAAATAAGAATAAATTTGTACCATTGGGTTCATCAAGTCAACGATCACGATCGAGTCAAAGTTTAATAAGTGAGAGTCAAATATGCAATGGCAATATTTTAAATAAGTATACTTTTTGTGGTTAAATATATATCATTGTCCGCTCACTAAGGGTAAAAAAGTCATTACGTATCTACCCACTCATCCACCACTAAGGGCAAAAAGGTCATTACATATCTACCCCCACCGTATATAAATTTTCATCAGTTGGTTCGATCGAACCGATCATCCAAAACGACAAAAATCAAAATAAACCAATCGAATTTTTTGGAAAAAATTGAACTGATCGAACTTCTATCCTAAACCATACTAAAATTTAACTGAAATAATCGGTTTATTCGGATGATCAACCGAATTTACTAAAAGAATTGAAATAAATTATTTATTTGTATTCTTAAAACATATTTAGTACTTTAATATTTTATATCGTTTTTAGGCTTGAAAAATATTACATACATAAAAAAATATAAAAATAATATTTTTTTATATAGATTTGTCGGATATTTCGTTGTTTAAAAGTAAAATCAAAATTGAGCCGGAAATGACTAACATATGAAAAACCGTACTAAAAATGTTATTGCGTTTGGTTTCATTTTTTTCGGTTTTAGTCGAACTTTTCACACCCTTCTGTGTGCTACGAAATGCACAGTATCGATAGATTAAATGCAAGTTAATACAAATAAAAATTCACAATATCGTAGCAGTGTATTTTTTCATTCTTTTTTTTTTTTTTCTCTTT